CTCCCCCTCGCGGTTCCCCGGCTCGGGCGGCAGTTTCCGGCGACGGTGCGCCTCGGCGGGCGGTGCTCCAGTGTAGATCGGGCGCAGATACGGCGGCGGCGCGGCCCTTTGGCGATGGGGGTTGGCCGGCAGAGCCCTGCAGGCCCAGATCTAGTCCCTTTTGGGCCCGATCTGGGTCAGGGCAGGTTGGTCTGGCCTTCGGCTGGGCTGGCGGGATGCGGTTGTTGGGGTCGGCGGCTCTGCGCTGCGTCGGGTGCAGCGCGGCAGCAGGAGCTTAACGGGCCTGATCTGGGCCCGGCTGGGCAGGGGGTCCGGCGTGCTCTCGCGCCTGCGGCCGGTCTGCTACGGCTTGTGCCAATGGAGGTTGTCCCCTCCCACGTGGCTGTGGTGTTCCCGGTCCCTATCGGCGGTGGTCTCGTTTGGTTCAGCCGGCCTCGCAGCATCTGTGATGGAGAGACAACGGTGGTGTCCTCGTGACTATGGTGGTGCAGGTTGGTGGGCGGTTGACGTGGTGGAGCCGCCGGTTAGTCCTGGGTTGTGGGTATGAGGGGTAGGGCGAAATCCCTCTGGGTCCGCCCGGCACCGACGCGGTGACGCCTGCGGGCACCATCAACCTTCTTGAAGGGCGTCAGGAGTACCTCTCGCCTGCTTCCCTCAATGTACCAGGAGAAATCCTAGGATTCGTCCGGGCAGCAGCGTCGTCGTTGTCGCAGTCCTTCTTGAAGATGTTGCTTGGTTCGCAGTGACTCGATGGCATTGGAGCGTGGTGGATGTTTCCGGTGGGCGCAACGGTTGCGGGATGCTTCAGCTTTCGTTCATCCGGTGCTGCCGGCATTTCTTTCTCTTGCTTTTCTCTTATTTTTCTTTTGGGCATGATTGTGTTGTTTGTCCTAGCGTCGAACTTCTGGCTGTATCGGGTGGGTGCTATATTAATATAGCAGGGCGTAAGCCTATTTTGGTAATATACCGTGACCAACTATTTTTTCTTTAAAACAAGGGGACCTCCCGTCGTGACCACCTAATAGAAAACTGTACTTCGTGCATTTTTATTTAGTCCGTATATTAGCTTTGGTCAAAGTCAAACTTTATAATTTTGACAAAGTTTATAAACAAAAATATTAATATACACAATAACAAACTAATACCATTAGATTCATTATTGAATGTACTTTCACATCATATAGATTTGTTATGGTAAATATTTATATTGTTTCCTATAAACTTGATTAAACTTTATGAAATTTGACTTTAATCAAATCTAATATGCAGAGTAAATTAAAATAGAGGAAGTACTAATTAAGTTGCTTGATGGGATGTACTGTGCTTGTTTTATACAAATTGTCAGTTTAAGAGTGACATTGGGCACTTCGGAACTTGCCGCTAGTATGCCGAGGACCAGAGCAGAAGTTTTGTGACTCTGGCCTTTTGTTCTTTATGGAAGAATGAACCTCAATTCTGCCATATGGAGATGCATACTCCATTCTGGATTAATAATTGGACATGGACTATATACAATTCTTGAAGTCAATGTTCCATATGAATGAATAAAGTGCTCCATATGAATGGATAGGTAACCGCGCGCTACGTACTGGATTGGATTTGGACTACTTCTCCTCTACCTCAAGGTGGTTTCCGCTCTCGTTTCCCCAAGTATTTTAGTGGTCAGTGATTTGGCCACGGCCGCGCATGGCGAAACTTGGACGCGATTTTTGTCCATAACTAAGGGAAACGCTATCTTTCAGCCGGCTGAAGACTCGCACGTATCCGTCACCTCTGTGACCGCCCGATTTGATTTTTTTTTAGCATCAGTACAGACACAAGCGCTCATATACACGCGCATACACTCATCCCTATGAACGCACACACGCACACCCTACCCCTATGAGCACCTCCGAGAGACTGAGCCGGCATATCATCTTGAGATTTACGAAGCCACCATAGGCGCCTCGTCATCGACGGGAACGTCTCCTCCCACTGAAAGCGCATCGCCGGAAATCCTGAAATAAATCCAAGAATAATGCGAGCACCAGGATTTGAACCCTGGTGGGCTGGAGATACCACTGTCCACCTAACCAACTCAACCACAGGTTGATTCGCCGCCCGATTTGATTTTAATTATGCAGGGCGTAGGGCTACGCGAGACAGACCAACAAGTTTGCAACATTGGGCATGTTGCAAACTTAAATTTGTAACACATGCTCTGTTGAAAACTTATGAAGCCCCAAAGAGTAGCCAGCGAGTATATAACTTGATCATTTTTCACTGAAAAAACTTCTGCAACATCATCCTTGTTGCAAAAAAAAAAAATCCTTCTGCGACATCATTTATGCTACAAAAACGTGAAAGATGGAAGAAAAATCTGTAACATGACCTCTGTTGCAAATATTTTTCTTGCAAAAATAACGCTTAAGAAAAGAACGCGTGATGTGAAAAGAACCGTTTTGGGTGGTTTTGCAACGAAGCCGTTGTTGCAGAGTGAACATCGCAACAACTAGCTTGTTGCAATTCATGACACACGTTTGGGGAGATCTGATGGCTCTTTTTTTGTCAATCGGATGGCTCTAGAGGCCACTGATGCTTTCATTTTATCCACCGGAGGACGTAGCGACACCCCATAACTAAAGGACCCCAATATACATCCGATGTCAGAATTTTAGCATAAAAAAAATTGACGCCCTCAAGTACGTCGGATCCGGCCCGATCAAACACATGACAATTACCCGCTGCAGCATGGTAGTTCTTCTAAAAAGCTTTTACACTACATGGCAATTTTTACTTTAGAAGATGGAAAATCCTATACAGAAACATTGCAATTTTATCAATTTTCGCATGGCAAATCTGATCATCAGGTTTTTAGCTTAAAACATCTAACTCAGTTTTTAACATTTAGGTAACTAAATCGAACGAGATAGCACCGATTTTGCTGTAAATGGATCTGTTGTCAGGGCATTTTAGGGCTGCCTTGATAGGCTCTTGACGCTTGATTTTAATCCTTGCATTTTTTCACCCGCTGCACTAATTCTCTTGTCATCCTACTATTTTGTTATGTAATTTGTTTTTTAAGATTTAGAAAGATCTTAAATAGCTAAAAATAAACAATAATTACTAAGCATTATCTTAATGAACTATCCGACTTCTTTTAATTATTACTCTTTTCATTCCAAATATAGTGCGTCAGCCATGACATTTGCTTTGTGGGTGAAGGATATTCCTAAATCATAATTCAAAATAACCTCGACACAACGTCATTGCGTGAGATCAAGATCTTGATGGGTGAAGATATACTTTGGACTCTGATGATCCATGTATATATATTTCGCAATGGTTAGGTAACGGCGCCATGTATTAAGAGCATAGACTACAACTGCTAGTTCTAAATTGTGTATTGGATAATTATCCTTATGTGGACACAAGTGATCAGAAGCATATGCAATCACATGTCGATCTTGCATCAGAATGCAACCCAGTCATTGTCGCGAGGCATCACAATAAATTGTAAAGTCTTTGTGAACATGTGGGGGCACAAGTACGGGGGCAATAATCCGTCTTCTTTTCAATTCCTGATTTTTTTTTCCACTATGGTGTCCACTTAGACATTTTACCATTCTTGAGGAGTTCAGTCAGAGATTTGACAACTTTGAAAAAATTCTTGACGAAGTGGCAGAAATAGCTTGCTAGACCATGAAAAATCGTAACTTTCATAATCGATTCAGGTGGAGTCTAACTAAGAACAACCTGAACTCTCTTGGAATTGGCAGCAATACCTTCCGCAAGAATTATGAGGCCTAGATAGGTCACTTCTGGTAACCAAAATTCGCACGTAGGGAATTTGGCATATAGTTGATGCTCTTAAAGTTTCATCAATACCATAGTTGAAATAAAAGTTGATCTTTAATCTTGACCACTATAATTCTTGTTATTGTATAATTAACGGAGCAGATTATTCACTCTACATAGATAGTGATAGTCTGAGACATGAAACGGGAAACAAAACCATAGACCCATACCGATGCGTCTTCTTTATCGAAAAAAATACCGATGCGTCCATGGACATACGGGATCTAGCCATCTAACCATTTCCCTCGAATAGGCAGCAAATGCAGACATT